GTGGCAAAAACCTTAAAAAGAAAATCACACTGGGTATGTGTGTGTGCATGTACCCAAAATCCCAGGAAGAGAATAGAGGAGAATTAATGGTCATCCCCCCGAGTAGTGATTTCTCACTTTTCCTCTGTCTGTCTTTGTCTCTCACTAGTGCACACTCCTTATGTCGAAAACCTTAAAATGAGTAAATAAATAATGGTTACTTCTGAGGCAAGACATACACTTTCTATACACTTTAGTTTTCTTTTATTTTGTCACAAGTTTAATTTTGAAAATAGAATGAAAATTTTGAAAATAGAATGAAAAAAGAGGGGCCATGGGAACCAGCAGTTAGCGTAATGGCTATGTTGCCGGACTCCCACGTAGTCGACCGTGGTTCGTGTCCCGGACCCGGTGGCTTAAAACTCACGCCGGGCACGTGTGCGTGCATGCCCAAGATCCCGAGAGGAGAATGGAGGAGAAGGGATTGCGGCGTGACCATCCCCCCTGGGGGGTGATTTCTCGCTTTCTGTCTCTCTGTCTCTGTCTGTCTGGCGAACGCACGTGCTCTATAGCGAAAACCTCTCAAAAAAAAAAAAAAAGAGGGGCCAGCAGGTGGTGTGTTGGTTAAGGTGCTGGACTCTCACATGGCCAACCACAGGTCGAGTTCCGGATGTGGCAGCTTGCTTTGTCACTTTCTCTCTCTATGGTCAAATTTAAAATAATAACAATAATGAATACAATAAAATAAATCATTCTTTTTTAATTTTATTTATTCATCATTTATTTTTTAACTTGACCAAAGGGAAATGCACAGAGAGAGAGAGGGAAAGTGAGAAAGCAAGCTGCCATGTCCAGGACTCGAACGGTGGTTGACCATGTGAGAATGTCCAGCGCCTCAACCACCTGCTACCTGCTGGTCCAAATCATTCTTTTTTAAAAAGAATAAAAAATGATTTTTAGGCAGTAACTAGTCATTTGCCTGGCATATCCAGAGAACTTAATAAACGTTCGTTATTACTATCAACATCATCATCTCTAATGTCCATTTCATAATGGCTCTGGGTCTCCCCACACTTCAGGGATAGTGCCGTGGTCAGCTTTGCTCAATATCATTCTGATTGCTGAGCCCCTGCCAAGGGGGCACCCCCAAGTGCAGACTGCTCACAGTGATCTCTCAGCTCTGCCTCAGTCACTTATGGCTGTTCGTCCAGTGGTCTGTTTCTGCCATTTGTTGTTTCATGTATGTATATTTTTTCAACTAAATATTTTGCAAGTTTCTCCGAGACAACCTTAGTGACCTTTTATTACCCCCCCCCAGGAATGTGGTTGGGTACAAAATTCAGGAAGAAACTCTCTTTGTGGCAAAGCTGGAGACCCCTCCATGAACAGGCAGGGTCAGTCCTCAGATAAGCATCTGGGACTCTGTTCCAGCTGGCAAAAAGCCAGGATCTATCTCATACAGACCAAGAAGAAAGACATCTGGGGCTTGGTCATAACAGTCCTGCATGCATGCGCTTTACAAAACTTCATTTGCACCTCATGACAGTCGCAAGGGTCTTTGACAGAGAAGATTTTGCTGAGGAGGAACAAGAGCTCAGAGAGGCTAAGATGTGCACTAAATTACCCAGCTAGAAAGTGAGAGAGCTGGGATCAGGGCCCAGGTTTCAGGCTCCTCCACACCATATGCCTTTTGGAGATATAAAACATCCCTTTCATCCTTCTTACTGATATCTCATGAAACTCAGGGGACAGGGGTGATTCATCAGGACCCATAGCCTTGTTGGAGACACTCATACCCAGGGCCAGGCAGTCACATGGCCCAGGACCACTACCCTCTAGGAAGGACAGCAAGGGACTAAGATGCAGGAGTAGGCTGGCTTTTCTGCTCCTCTCCCAGGGGTTTTGTCAGAGGCGGTGACAGGGGGCCACCCACAGTGCAGCTAGAAGCTGGAGTTCCTGCTGGGAAGGATTTGAGAAGCCTTTGAACAAAATACAAACGCACTGCCAGTCATGCCACCTAAGAGAGTCACTCCTTCAACTCTTTGAGGTTTAGAATCTGTCAGGAGCAGCTAAAGCTGTTATTCTTTGGCATCCAAATCCAGTTAAGCCTTAGAAATTGTCTTGGGAGGACAGAGAGGAAAGGGTCCCACAGAGAGGCAGCATTCTCTTGGGGCAAGAAGTGCCAGGACTGTTCCCAAGGCCCTCTTCTGATCTTGGAGACAAAGGTAGAAGACTTCTCTGGCAATGTGGTCCAGGAGGAAAGGCCAGGGAGGACTTGGCTGGCAATGGAGAGGGAAAAGCCAGGCCAGCTCTCTCGACTGAATCCACTCAGCCCCTTCCTCCTGTCTGTCAAACAGGGTTGGGAATGACTTACCCGGAGGGAGTGCTGAGCCACCTGGCACCTGGTCCCTTGCCATCATGAGGATAAATGCCGGGTGAGCATTCAGGACTGTTCTAAACACTTTACTGTATTCATTTATTTAATCTTCAAAACGGCGATCCGTACCCAAACCACCGTTATCCCATTTCGCAGACGAGGAGAAGAAGGCTCAGGAGAAGGAAGGTATTGGATGGAGCCAGAACTGTAAGTCATGAGTGGGACTCCAGAAGCCTCCCCGTGCGGTGGAAACAAATCAGCGCCGAGGCCTTGCACTTGTTCTGCACTTTAGAGTTCATAAGGGACCTTCCCTTGGCTCTTGGGACACTCACACAAGGGGAAATGAGGGGGCGCTTATCAACTGGGGGCGCTCAGAGAGGCGATGTGCTTCACACAAGGTCACACAGCTACTGCGAAGTCTGGGGCGATTTCTAGACACGGGACTGAGCTACAGACCCCTGGTCAGCTCGCCCCCACCCCCAACCCTTCCCTGGGCGGGTGTGGGCGCAGTCTCCGCTTACTACGCCTGGGGTGGGTGGAAGGGCGGAGCGGATCGCGGCCTGACGGCCTGGGCGCTGTCCGCGGTGCTGATCTGCCGCCGCGCCCTGGGTTGCCAAATCGCTAGCGGATTTCCCGGGTTCTCTTTTCTACTCCCAGCCAAAACCAGCTTCTCGAGTTAGCACCGGGGTTCTCAGGCCCAGCTCT